CACCTTTATGGTTTAATGACCTGCTGCAGCATAAATCATCATCAGACTGGAGGCTGGGAGTGGGGTGGTGGTCTAGGAGCTAGTGGCTTATCCAGTGGTGCACCAGGAAATGAGGTATGAACTGGTGTATGAGCTTACTATTAATTGTTTCTCCATTTGCAGGAATTTGCAGATTCTCTTGGAATTCCATTTTTGGAAACCAGTGCAAAGAATGCCACAAATGTAGAACAGTCTTTCATGACCATGGCTGCCGAGATTAAAAAACGAATGGGTCCGGGAGCGACAGCTGGTGGTGTGGAGAAGTCCAATGTTAAAATTCAGAGCACTCCAGTCAAGCAGTCTAGTGGAGGTTGCTGCTAAAACTTGCCTCCCCCCTTTTTGTCTCACAACAATGAATTTGCAATCTGAACCCAAGTGAAAAAAAAATAAAAAATAAAAATTGCCTGAATTGTACTGTATGTAGCTGCACTACAACAGATTCTTACCGTCTTCACAAAGGTCAGAGATTGTAAATGGTCAATACTGACTTTTTTTATTCCCTTGACTCAAGACAGCTAACTTCATTTTCAGAACTGTTTTAAACCTTTGTGTGCTGGTTTATAAACGTGTAATCCTTGTTGCTTTTCCTGATACCAGACTGTTTCCTGTGGTTGGTTAGGATGTATTTTTGTTTTGATGTTTCTATTGGCATGTGTAGATGTCAGGTTTAGTCTTCTGAAGATGAAGTTTAGCCATTTTGTATCAAACAGCACAACAGTGTCTGTCACTTTCCATGCATAAAATTTAGTAAGATATATGTAAGATCTGATTTGCTAGTTCCTTCTTGTAGAATTATAAATGGAAAGATCACACTATCTGATTACTAGTTTCTTCATACTCTGCATATAATTTGTGGCTGCAGAATATTGTAATTTGTTGCACAATATGTAACAAAACTGAAGAAATGTTTAATAAATATTGTACTTATTGGAAGTAATATCAAACTGTATGGTGATAAATATTGTCTTAATTTGTATGGCTAAGGGGGAAATCAGGCTTGCATTGTGCACAAAACATATCTGTGTGCAGCCATGGCTCTCAGACCTTCTGGTAGACCAGAGACCTTCCCTGCAACTAAAACTAGTGACTATGGCCCAAAAGCCTGAGTTGTCATGGTGCTTAAGGCACGTATGCTGTACCAGAAACGCCCAGCCAATACTGATGGAGGCAAAATGTGCTCTGAATGTACAACAGTTCCCTAACTTAGTCTTGGAACTTAATTTATTTCTCAAGGACTTGATGTAGGGAATTCCTGTCTGCTTGGTGTAGTAGGGGAGAGAACAGTATTTCCCTAACATCAGTGGCTTCAGTGTAACTTTGAGGTGGTATAACTTTCTACCAGTATATTATGTCTTTTTCTATATACTGTTTATTCCATCCTCTTTTAATCAGTACTCTTCTGACTTAGTGCAACAGCTTAGCTTCTATTCTGTTATGCACAGAGGCATCAGAAGGATGAAATGGGGACAAGGAGGCCCCACCACAGACTGTTGCTCAAAGTAGGCGCTATCTCAAACAATTTGGAACTAACCAGCAGCCAAGAGGTTTTGGACAGTGTGTGATTCTTTGTACAGAGCTAATCAAATCATTAGTGCCTGATGTCTAGCTAAAAGCCACAGGAAAGCTAGCCTATAACACTTCCTATACATGTAAAATTGTTCAGCTTTATCTAAACTCAAATGTTCAGCCTATTCTGTAAATAGTCTCATGTTTGAAAGACCATGTAACATTCCCCTAGTAGTAAATACACCCTGTGGTAGTAAAAAATATAGCCTAGGTATGTTGTGAGGTATAAACTAAAATTGGTGCAAATATCCTCTTTTTTTTTTTTTTTTGGGGGTGGGGGGATGACTTTGGCTAACAGCTTTTTTTTTTTTTTTTTTTTTTTTGTGTGTGGGGGGATGACTTTGGCTAACAGCTTTCTTCAACATAGTTGCATCAATCAACAGGCAATTGTAATACATAAAGTATTGTCATGGTTAAGTTGAACTCTTTCACTTGAGATCTTCACAATAAAGTGATGTGCTTTCTATTAGAGATGTGCTTGTTGGTATAATTCATTATATAATGTGACTTGCTCCTCCTGGGGAGCAGGAGCAGTAGGAGTAGTGAGCTCTGCTAAGATCAGCAAGTGAACCCAAAGGATGTGTATTGAGGGTGAAACATCTTCCCTTCAGAGAAGTGCACAAATGAACTTAAATGTTGAGATGCCTGCTACATACTATCCAAAACAATGTTAATATATACAGTAATAAAAGCATTGCAAAACCAACTTGGGCTAAACCAGTTGTTTGGTGGTTTGTTGTTTTGTTTTTTTTTCCCCAAGTCTTGACTGTGTTCCTGCACTCCTGCTGTCAAATGCTAGAGCCTGGGGAAGAGGGCAGAGCAGGCCTAAAAATCCTGGACAAGGGCACTGTAGTGTCTCAAGTGTGAGCTGAAACATTAAATACCTTTGACATAATGGCTTAGGCTTAGGGCTTACAAGTGGTAGCAGACAGGTAGCTATAGCCTTGCTGTGCATGTAACTCATCCTGCCCTGCCATAGGCTTTGATTAAATGTTGCCCTAAAGGCCCACAGGTGCAAGACCTGGTGTCAGTAAACCTGGTGAGACCAGTCTGGCTGTAATGATTTGCTTGAGCTTTTTTTTGTTGAAATATCACCTGCAGCTTGGCAAGAAAAAAACACACCAACAAAAATAGCCCTTTTAAGGTGAGGAGGTAGAAGATGGGAGACTATCCAAAACCCCCACAAAACCCAGTGAATTATTTGTATTTGCCACTGGTAACTGCTGCAGTTTAACTGTGCTTTCACCTTCTACTTGTGCAGTACAGAAACCACTTTGTTCTGCCCACAAGAATGGGAGGAAATGATGCATTCTGCACAAGGACGCCACGATCGCCATCTAGTTTAAAGGTCAATTACAGCCACGTACCAACGTTCTGTTGCTGGTTGTAACTTCACAGCACTTACCTTGTGACGCTGTTGAGTGACACCCTTTTATGTCGCAGAAAGGGTTTGGAAACCCTTTCCAGATGTTTTGCGAGCAGTGATGAACTGCACCAGCTGTAGGAGGGGAGAGGCACAGCTTCTCACCCAGGGAAACCAGCACAGCATTAACACAACCACTGCAAATAACAGGTAACAGCAGTTCGTACAAAACTTGTTTCTTCCCCTGAGTATGCTCACCTGTTTATTGTTTTATTTAGCGTCATATAGCATATTGACTCTTTGTGCTTATGCATAAGAAAACCACAAGTTAAACAGGCTCTGCTTTAGCTGGGAATGGACATCATGAACAAAGAGTTCAGTTTGCTCACAAGAACCAGGAGGAGTTGCTATTTCTTGGCTTCTAGCACCTATTTTTGAAGAACATAAACAAAATGAGAACATGATTTAAAATCACACGGCTTTACTTAAAAGTGAGTTGCACGGCACACTAAAGATTACTTAGTTTAAAAAAAACCAGCGTGTTCCTGACATTTTGCTAACACACGGAATGGGCCACTTCTAGGGGTCAGGAAAAAAAAGGAACGCTACATTAAAAAAAACAACCCCCCCCCCCTGAAAAAGCCAGCTGTACATTCCTTACTCAGAACTCTCCAATGTAGCCAGCACTATTAACCAGCCATTGCAGGAGCCAGGTGACTGCTGTACAGCTTGCCTTTCTCAAGCCAGGGTAAAAACAAACCAAACCAAACTGAAATCGGCCCAGACTGGCTAACTGTGCACACAGTGGTCATACATATTTGGCATCTCTGCAACAGGTGAAAGAGATGGTTGGTTTCCTGCTCACTGCATTTATTTTCAGCCATCCCGAGACTGGCTAACAAAGCCCAGGTCTGATAGAGGCAGCATCTGAAATAAAATAGACTGAGTTAGCTACTGTGCTTTGGCTGCAAGCCAACAAACCAACCAAGCCTATTCTATAACCATGCTATACTTAAATCACCTCAAAATATGCTTGGTAGTATATAGGGGATTTATGTATTTTTACCAATTAAAAAAAAGAACACGCACACAAACAACAAAAAAAAAGCCTACTTAATTGTTACTTGCCTCTAAAGTGCTGGAAAAATTCTTTCCCCTTTGCAACTCCAAATGTTAAGGCGTGCCATGGAGTGGGCTGTGGGGACATCAACAATCTGAGCTAATGGGAATGGGAGGGTGCTGAGGGTGTGCCCTGAGGTTATCCTGCAGTTCCTAAATTCCTACCTCTTGGTGCTCAGAAGCCCTTAAAAGACTTCTCATGCCTCTGGACCCAGTGCCTTGCAAACATCCGTTATTGTTTTGTACAGACACAGTTTTATAGTGATTCCCATCACAGAGTGAGGGGCTGAGGGCCATGGCAGCACACAGCTGACCCCATTTAGGCTGCTGTGCCTCTGCCCTCAAACCCTGCACACCCCACCACCCCTTACACCAGCATCCCTGCCATGCCCATCTGGAACACATTTGTCTTTGCAGCTTCATTTGCAGGAAGGTTGTCAAGAAATGGGCAAACAAGTTTTCTAGTCCATTTTACACCTGAACTCACTGAGATAATAAAAAGTCAAAAAAACTTTCTTGTCTTCCCTCTGCTGCCTGAGTGATTTTGGCAGCAGGTGTCTGTGCCAGGCTGCTGACATTCCCTCCATCCTGACTGACAGTGACCTGCCTGCTGGCTCCCCAGTCCCTCCAAGGAGCTGCCATCGCCCTCATCTGCTCTTGGGTTTCATCAGCTGGCTTACCAAGGCACTGCTCTTCCCTGACACATGCTTAAGGACGATGGGGAGTCCATTTAGAGAGCACCCTTGCTTTCTTCTCTTTTCAGCTTTCCAAACAGCACATTGAAAGACATAATAATAAAACCTGATGAATGCTTTTTACTAATTTAAGTGTTCATCTTCCTATGCTTTCCTCCCTCTCCCCACTCCACAGAAAGGCTGGTTTGCCCCCTGCTTACCGCCCGAGCAGCCGGCTGCTACAGCCCCTCGTCCTCCATCCTGTCCTCACCCTGCACAGGACCCACAGAAGCTAGAACAGACTCGTACAAGTGCTCTGCATGGGTTTCCAGCTCTTCTGACTGTTTTGCAATCAAACCCAGCGTATCTTTCAGAGCTGGAAAAGAAAACGTATGATGGAGGTGTAGTAACGTGACAATCCAACATCTTCACGAGCGGTAAGAGAGAGGTCCACGCACCCGGACAGGCTTTTTAAGGAAATCGAGTGCTAAAAATCAATAAGCTGATCTTTATTCCATCCAAGCTGTGATGCAGAGTTTGGAGACGGTAGGAAGTGACCTTGGAGGCTCCAGGTTAAGAGTGAAGACACAGAAGTAGGAGTTCCCAAGGGAAACCTTTGGGACTGTGTAAAAGAGCTCATGCATAATGCAGTACTCCACCACTAAAGCCCCTCTGGTGACAGCCCTTTAGAAATCCCTTGTGCAGGGCACAACCAAATCACTGGAGTGGCTGCCCCATCCGTTCCACACCACCAGCCAGGCTGGGCTGTCGCCCCAAAGTGGCTGCTGACACCCGCTCTGGGATGCACCAAGCAAAATTGCCTCCTCCTACACTAGACAAAAGCATTTCCTCCCAGCTGCATGCTGACAGCATCCCAGTGGGAGCTGGCCATGCTGCCATTAAGATAAAAACCTAAGGAAGGACCCAGAAGAGGCAGAAACACATCCACCACGCACCAGGGATGGCACAGAACAAGAGAAGAGCCAAGGCACAGTGCAGCTTAAAGTGCTTGGGTGTAATAATTTCAAACCACCTCACTGTCAAGTCTCCTGGCAGCAAGGGAGACGTAAAACCCTTTAGGCTCCCATATGGCTGCCAAATGGCAAAGTGTCCACTGCTTCCACAGGTGGCGCCAGAGATTTTGGGGGGCAGACACTACAGCGAGCATCACCAGCTGTGTCCAGGACCAGCCCTGCTCAGATGTTCCTCACCTGGAGAATTTGATGCCATGCAGTCAAGGAGAGCTTCTCCCCTCTCCAGCACACTCTCTGTCAGGCTCCGGTGGTCAGCCACGTCTTTCCTGAACTCCTGGGAAGGCAAGGAGAGGCAGAGACCTGCTTAGATGGGGTTTTTTTGGAAAAGATACACCTGCGACAGCTTGCCTGGAGACCAGTTTACCTAAGCAGGTTCCTGATGCTCCCAGACTGGGCTTTGCACACCCGATGCACCCTGCACCACCCACCTGGACTGTGCCAGCAGCGCCCTCCTTTGTGCTGCTGAGAACCAGCAGCAGAGGGGTATGAAAAGCCGGAGGTGATACCTACCAAGCAGCGGTGCAGTGATGCCTTCACGCCCTCAGCATCCAGCAAGGCTGGGACCCAGCTGTCAGTGATCTCTGCCACGTTGTACAGCCAACGAATTAGCTCTTCCAGCTGGCAGCAAAACATCTACTTAACGAAGCATAACAAAAGGGGTTACAGATCTATTCCTGCAACAAAGACACGGCAGGGACAAGAAGAGGTGAGCCAGCGATGTTTCCAAAAGTATCTGATCCCTGCTGCTCTCCTGCCCCACTGCCACACACTAATATCCCTAAGTTCGGGAAACAAAGAGTCAACTGAAAAAAAGGCAAAAACCAACTTAAACCCCTAAACACACCCCAAAACCACTATGCAGCTCCAACTGAGGGTCACCATGAAATGGCTGCCACGGAGAGGTGTCGGAAGCCAGCAGCACCCAGGCTGAAGGGAGGCATTTGCCTCCACCACCTCCCAGCCAAAGGGAAACTCTCCTCCTCACCACAGCCAGGCAGTTAATTTACTTGCTCTTCCCCAAGGGTTTGTCTCGTTCAATTAAGTGTTTCATTATTTTTTAAAGTGTCTTGGTAAGGGATTATTTTTGTAAGACACTGCACAAAACCCAGGGGCCTCTGCTCTCACAGAAACCAGAATGCAGTCCTGCTCCTCAGGACCTGGGATGTTACTATAAAGCTGAGCTGTTTCTTCCTGGCACTGTGATTTGGGGCAACCAGATACACCCACATGCTGACCCTTTTAAATCAGCAGTTATTCCCATGCAAGAACTGGTGTTTGCAGCTTTGTGCATGATACTCTCTTTGCAAACAGCCCAGCACTGCTTCCAAATTTAGCCCAGGGCTGAGGTGGCGGGCAGGGGTAAGATGAAGAGGAAGGGAAGGAGCAATCTGTGCTGGCTGGGGAGCACAGCTCTGGTGGCAGGACAGCCACAAGGCATCACTCGCCTGAAAAATAAAAAGTCACAAAATGATCAGGAAACCCCTCAGAAAAGGTTCACAAGTTCTGCCTTGCCTTATTACACCCTGACGGAGGATCCAGTGTGGGGAAGGTGAGCAAGCCCAGGCTGAAAGACAAGGCCAGCCACGCCACATTACACAGCCAGAGGGATGGGGCAGGCGGCAAATGCTGGATTTCCTGCTGGTCCAGCCCAAACCATAGCTCTTCTCTGGTGCCGTTGTGGTGCAGGACAGGCTGGTGGAGGAAAGCAAGTGCTACATTTCAACCCAGCCTAACACCACAGTGGTAAGTCCCAGGAAAAGAGAGCTGGGCTCTTGCTCCATGAGAAGAAATTATCTGCTCTGGTGAGCCCCCCTGCACTAATTGCTACCAGCTGCCAGGCACCAAACATCATGCAGAAGGGAAAGCCTTAATTGTGTCATAAATACAGGCACGTTTTATGTGAGATCTTCCCATAATAAACTTTATTTCTGGCCTCAGCCTACCTTCACACACTGGGCAAGGGACTCGCCGTGCTGGCGCTTCTTTGGCTGCCCCTTGACCCGTGGTTCATTGAGGTAACTCCCGTCCAGCATGTCCCTGAGCCCAGTTGGCAGACGAAGCCCCCGCAGAGGATCCCTGTGGAGCTGCCCATACGATTCAGTGTTTTCCCTGCTGAGCTCTCTAGAGTTGCTGGGGTGCCACAGCCCAGCACAATCCTCAATATTCCCTCTTTTGCCCCCGTCACCCACTTCTCCAAAAGGAGCCAACTCGAATGAAAGGGGCTGCCTGCTGTCACTGTGATGTGGAAGGTTACAGTGGTCGCGCTCGGTCGTCCTTATAGTTAATGACAGATTGGACAAAAACTGAGCCAGCCTCTCCAGCTCCTGCAGTCTGGGAGGCAGGGACAGAAACTCCTCATCCCCCTCCCACTCTCTCCTCAGGGGGAGCACTTGTGTTGTAGGTAAAAACCTATTTGTGCTTTTCACCTGCCCTTTGTAGTTTGGGAAGGGGCTCCCTTTGGTGCACCAGCTTCCCCCATCTGCAGCAGGGCAGCCAGATGAACCCAGCCCCACTGACTCTGTTGTTACATCTTTAGCTGAACCTCCAGAAGGATGAGAGGAAGGACTCTTTGCGAAGGATGCTGTTGGAATAGGCAAAGGTTCATAGTACAAGCCAGCTCCTGAGCTGCCTCTTTTTCCAGGCCCTGGTGTGGAGACCTTCTCCGCAGAGGCCACGAACCTCCGACGTCTGCTTCCTCCACTTTCCCAAGCCTGTCCGCTTCGGCCATAGATGCTGGTGGACCTCAAAGTGCCCTCAGGGGAAACAGAAAAGCTGTCCAAACCTATTCCTGAGTCGTGGAAGAAAGGTTCTGGTACCTTTCCCAGCTTGTATCTTGGCTTCAGCGGATAAGCGTAATCCAGCAAGTCCTCATACTCTTTATGGGGGTCCCAGTGGGGCGAGTGACGGTCTGGAGAGGGGGGTAAGGAATCTGGTATGGCACACGCCCAGTAATCAGCTTGGTAGGATGACATCTTTCTGGTGTGCTCCACAGTGGGCCGGTCATCACGCAGAGGACTGAAGCTCTTGTGTGACCGCAGCGTCCTGCCCTCTGCCGCGCTCCACCTGGCCTTGCTGGCCACAGGGGAAGGCATGTCTGTGCTGGCCAGCAAATGTCGGGACAGCTTTTTGGAGAGGCCACTTTCTTCTGAAGACAGAGTGGAGAAGCTCGACACGGAGCGGCTCCGCAGGGCGTGCTCAGGGCTGAAGGGGGTTTGGGGCCGCAGGAGCTCCGAGGTGGAAGAAAATGAGGACTGAGCTCCCAGACCTCGGCTCTGCCAGCCAGCACGGGCATGGTGGCAGCTGCCAGCAAGGAGGGTCTCCTCTGCAGAGCTGAGCTGGCTGGGAGGGCTGGATGTCAGCTCCCAATGGCCTGATGCCTTTACCTGCTCAAGAACAGGGAGAAGAATGAAAGAGAGAGAGAGAGAGAGAGAGAGAGAGAGAGAGAGATAAAATTAAGTTCCAACATCCAAACAAAAGGCTTCTTTGTGCTAGGACATTGAGATAAAAGCCCAGCCCTGGACATACTGTGAGGAGAGCCTGGAAAGGGAACTCTGTTTTGTCCATGGGATAGCATGCAGCTGCCCAGAGCCTGGAGTGGGGCTTATTTTTAAGGAAAGACATCCCAAGGGCTTAGGAAGTTGCAGGAGTGATTTGGGAGCAAGAGGTACTTATTTAAGAAGCCTCATCCCAAGTGGCTTCCGAGCTCCCTGGTGGCAGTGGCTCAAGTATTGGAATGCAAGCCCATCACCACTACACACTTTACCCCAGGGCTATGGTGGGCATGCTCTAGCTGGCTTGATGAGATGGAAAGCCAGGCCCCTAAGACAACCAGACAAACAAGTCCCCACCTCACCTGGGACCTCCTGGTGATGCAATGACACCTGTACATACAACCGTCTCACCTGCTGCTCTTCTGAGGAGAGGACCTGGTGGCTAACATGATGAGCCACGTCACCACCATCATTGGTGCTGTAAATTAACGTCTCTGTCTCTGAGAGGCTGTCTCTTGCTCTGGGAAACCTGGGTGCGGATGCTGAAGACACTTCTTGGTGGTAGCTTGAGCCTCCCTGGGTAACATCAGTGGCTAAGTGACCGTGTCCACTCATTGCCACATTCTCTGTCCCCTGCGGGCAGGGCTTTGCTTCCTCCGCCCCTAGAAGCCGGTGCAGGCTGTCCGCTAGCTCTGGGTAGTCTGCTTCCACCTCTGTGCAGTCCCACCTGCCATTGCCCTCGGATTTCCCACTCAGTGAGGCTTCAGAAAGTGATTTTCCCACAACCACAGCCATTGGGACAGAATTTCTTCCACAAGATGATGCCAAGCCTCAGGCTCTCTGAAATACACAACACATGGTAACAGCAACTCACCATCCCATCTCGTCTCCACCTCAAGTAAAGAAACTGGGTGTGTCTAATAACAAAGAGCTTAAGCATGTTCTGAGTCGGACCCCCAAAATCACAGAATCATGGAATGGTTTGGATCTTAAAGATCACCTAGTCCCAACCTCCTGCATGGGCAGGGACACCTCCCACTAGACCAGCTTGCTCCAAGCCCTATCCAGTGTGGCCTTGAACACTTCCAGGGATGGGACATCCACAACTTCCCTGAACAACCTGAGCCAGTGTCTCACCACACTCACAGTAAATAATTTATTCCTAATGTCTAACATAAATCTACTCTCTTTCAGCTTTAAACTGTCTCCCCTTGTCCTATCCTTACATGCCCTTGTAAAAAGTCCTTCTCCAGCTTTCCTGTAGGCCCCCTTCAGGTACTGGGAAAAAAAAAATAAATCACAAAGTTGAATCTTGGCACATCAAGCAGGACAGAGGAAAGAACAAACCATCACGTCTCAGCAGCTTTTTCTGATTTTGAGGACATGACACACAGGGAAAATCTAATTAAAGCTCTAGCTGCACCGAGCACAAACCTCTGCTTTATACCTTCCTGGCACAGTGCAACCGTCTCCCGAATTAATGGCCAATCTCACAAACAGTTTGTGCACCATGAGGTTACTGGGCCCAAAGGAGACATGATTAACTAGGATGTAAAGTACCTATCAGTGTGGCTGAGTCTTGAGGGCTACTGGGGTGGAAAGCTGAGGGTTTTTAAGAGACAAACTAAAAACCTTGAGATGGAAGCCACCCAAAACTGAGAAATATATATATATATATATAAAATAAA